CCAAGAAACTATTAAGGGCGAAAAAAGCATTTACTCAATCAATCCAATTAATCCATCGAAATATTTCATTCTTATATCATTTCAATCATATTATCGAAAGTTTTATCCTCTTCTCATTCCTTGGAACAGAAGGTAATACAAAGAGAGAAAAATGTCCAAAGTTTCAGTGGATTGTGCAGTTGTTCATGAATGAATAGATAAAATTCAATAAAAAAATGAAAGAAAAGAAATAAAAAAGAAAAGTAAAAAAATTTGCCCAAAAAAAGCCTTATTGTATTCACATTGAAAGATAAAGTTTATAAAGATAAACTTTTACCTGGTAAATATGAAAACAGATAGAAAGAGGTTTCATCACCTGGTTGTCTAGAAAAGCTATGTTAAGAAAGAGGTAAAATAGAAGATAAACAAAAAGAAAAGGTAATCAAAAATAAAATAACCAAGCTAATTGATTAATATACGTGATAATATCAATTCAATCATCTATATATTAATTAAAAAACTCACCTACATAATTAGATGACAGAGCGTCACTGAATTATTAAAAAAATACAAACATAAGATGTCAATTATTATTAGAGCAAGTTGGCTTTCTAACCAGATTCACAGTCAACTGTTTTACTCTAGTATGTGGATGCTCTATCGTACAATCTGTTATCAACTCAAACACAAATAAATGCTTCATGTTTAAACCAATTTGCAGAATATTAAAGGCGTCAACATTGATTTCATGTGATTTTTGCCAATATAACAAATGAAAAGCAGTTAATGAGTTATTAATTTATGTAATAAAGTAGATAATTGTTTCATCAGTTACACCAAATATTTTTTTCAGAGAAATTTTCTTTGAAATTTTTCAATCTTAAAATTTTTCGGAAATTTCATCAGATTCTCAATAATCTAAGTTTAACATAACAATTCTTACTCAAATGAGATTTTTTTAAGAAATTGTTTATCAAGCTAATAAATTGTTATTAATATCTTAATTAGGTTTGTCGTTAAAGGAACGTGCTAACGCTGCAATGATAAAAGCCATGTTTCGAGTTCTTCTTCGGTGACAAAGTAGTTCAAGCAATAAGTAGAGGTGAGACGGTTAGGACTTAGGGTCCTACTAATAATAACCAACAACCAATTCGATAATAAATGAGTTTTTCAACTTTTTAAGCCTTTTAAAACATAATATCAACCATAAGATTTAATTTAGTTAACCTTTTGACAATTTAAAAAAACACAATATTAAAATTAAAATAACAGATATTTTTGAAATTTGCAATCTCTCGAAATATTTACTCCTTTTCTGATTGGGAATACATGAAATTTCGTACATTTTATGCACACAGGAAGCGATCTCGGTGACTCTGGATTTAACAGATAATTGTATATCTGGACTACCGGGTTGAATCTTGAGCTCAGCGAGGATCCACATATTATTGGTTAATTTGAACGATTGGTATAGCATATCGTTTCCTTCAACAGTTCGTTTAGCAATTGTAAAAACGTTATTGGATTGTAGTTTGGATGAAATAGCATCAGCATCAAGGTTAACACCGTTAATGGGAAACTGCAATTCATTCTGAGATGGAATCTCTTTCCAGGTGGACAAGAAAACGCGTTTATCCATGCTAGCATCTTCAACACAGTAAACATGCAATGGTACAACTGCACTGAAGTAAAATATTCCGACGTTGTTTTTTACTGCAACTTGAAGGTTTGTCAATGGATTCATTTTTTGAACAGGCCCATTGGTGCTCAAAGGTAGACTCGCATCTGAGGATAAATTGGGTTGGAGGGGTGTTTGGACAGTCAATGGTTGACCAGGAGCCAAGCCAAAGCTGTTCTTGTTAAACTGTATAGCAAATCCTGTCATGGATTGCATTGCTCGATTAACAAAAGTCATCTCCATATGAATTGCACCATTACGACGAGTGAATGTCCCTGATGGTTCAAGGCCTTTACCATCAGTAGCTGAGAGCCAAAGCTACGAAATTGACAAAAATATGAATTAAATAATAATTTGAAAAATATTTACAAATTAAAAGAATAAATTTTACTAACCTCTTTAGGTGGGGTGAAAAAGGTGCTAGTAACTGGAATGCCAAATATATCACCAAGAAGTCCATAAGTTGAAGAGACTGGAACAGGCGGAATGGGTACAGAGGCGGTTGGTGGGAATGTTGTGCTGGGCACTGGAGGAGCTGGTTGTGAAATATCATTACCACCCAAAAGTGTGTCTAAACCACCTCCAAGTATATCAACATTGGAATAACTGCTAATTGGTGAAGTAGTGTAAGTTGGTTGAACTGGGGGAGGATTAAGCTCGAGGCTGAGAAGATCACCAATGAGAGTTTCCTGTGATGGGATTACGGTAGGTTGTTGTTCATTTGTAGCGTTAGACAATTGGCCATCATCGCCGGATCCTGAACGAGGATTAAGACTTTTTCTGAGACCAGTTTTACCTTCAACGAAGGCTGAAGGAGGTTTATGATAAACTGAAGCTAGACTTCCAATATGACAAATCAGCTCGTCGAGCAGAGTTGGTTCCAAAAGATCAGTTGATGGACACAATTGATAAAAAAATACAGTAAAGAAACTAGCCGAATTAGCTTTGTAACAGCAAAGATAATCCCAGACCCTGGAACAATGCAATGAGTGAAGAGGTAAAAGGCTGGCAACTCTGTTGCTATAGACCGAAGGCGGTGTAATCAAATTTAATCGTCAATGAAATCCAATTCATTCTATTGGAATCAAAAATTGTTGATAGACATTTCAAGACAGTTGATAGACTCAATGGCCGGATAACTCACCACATCTTGACATGAACAGTCTCTTGTTCCATTGAGATGAGGTAAGTTACACCGGCGATTGAGTCTATCAACCTTCTCTTGTTCCAATATCATCGGCGATTGAGTCTACCAACTGTCTGATCGTTTGCTTTATATCTAATTTATAAAAACAAATTTTCTTAATTAATATCAAAAATGCGGAGCAAAGCTGATTAACACTACTGAATGAATTGTTGTACTGACTATGAGATTGAGTTACGATAGTCAGTGACTACACAGAAATCGTTTACTAATCTATCTACGCTTGAGTCTATGAATTGTCATTGACTTTGACTACACAATAGAGTAATAGTCGGCATGACTATGGCATTGAGTTTCCACATGAAGAACCAGTTCGAAGATGAATAATCGTATGAAATGTTACCATGCAATCCGTAAACAATCATATCCATATAGATGCGATGAACAGACATTTGTTGTAAAACCTTTACCTTTAACATCACCAGTTGGACAGCGCAGTAAAAGCATTATGGATAACTTGCTGTTAAAATGCAAATTTTCTGCAAACAAAATGCAATGTCATGATGAAATTAAGTATTCAGAATACAAGAACCACATTGGTACATGTACCCTGGATCCTGATTGATTTTAAAAAATATAACAATTATGCCCAAATTGTAAAACCACAATAAATTTACATGATTGAATAAATTTTCGTGTATTTCTTCATATATTTACATTAATCTGTATGCGCCAATGGTGCGCCAATAGAAGTTTGTTGTGACGAAGAGAAATGTAACGTGCGACTTTTTTATCAATTTGTGAACAGAACTGTTCAAGTGTTTTATCAAATTATGTTTAAGTAATTTTCATTGAATTTAATTCGAAACAATTGGAAAATTAGATGAATAATGAACTCGATGAACACACTACTGCTGCCTTCTGTATTTCTAACATGTAACTATGATAAAAGCGACATCTAGTGGCATCTAAACGAAGCGAATGTAACACGTGTTTCACATGATTAGTAATTGGTTATATCCTCTAACTACATTATATTGTTTAATTCAACTTTAACTTTTTTTGTGGTATCAACGATTACAAAAATCAACTTTTATTAGTTTGCATTCAACTACGAGTGAAAATGTCTCAAAAATCAAGTCAAAAATCAACCCAAGCAAGCCAAGAAAAAAGCCTTTCTTT